GCGGGTTCTAGTCCCGCCTGGGGCGAAAGTTTTGTTCACAACCCAGCATTCTTGTGAAAACATTAAAACAAACTAGGCTCGACCGTTGGTTCTTGCCCATCGTAGGGTTGACCCTGCCCCCTCCCTCCTCTTCCCACTTGATTTCAGATCTAGACGGGGTAACCACAGCTGTTGACGCCTCGGTGGACGTTACAGCAACCTGTCTTTTGTAACCGTACTATTACTGGGTTATTCATATCGTTTATACGTAATAGGTATTCACCCTACACAAAGAAATCATCCAGACGCGAAAACGGAGGTTGAAATTTGTAAGATTTCAAGTTGAGGCGGCTTGATATGAAAGGCAGTCCTAAGAAGAAAATCACGCAACTCGTCTGAGATACGGTATGTCCGGATTCCGTTGGACACTTTTTTGCGTCTTATGACATGGTTGATAGGGCGGTTTCTGCCCCAAAAGTGCCACATATAGTCTACTTGGATCCCCCTCGGCTATCTCTACTGCCCATCTTTCTCTTTTATGAGCATCATTTTTTATCGCGAGTTTAGTCGTTGAAAAAGCAGTAATACTGTCTAACGTAAATCCTCATTTGCTTCCGCCTCCCCCTCCGCCCCCCCAGGTTTACTGGGTGGTCGAATATCCAGAGCAAATCAACCGGAGAGTGTGTTACAGTCTTACGATGACTAGAGCAAATAGTAGTTTATTTCTGGAACATTCCTGGAAAATTTCGTTGAAATGCCATATTTTAGCCATTAGATCTGATATGGTTAACCCTGGAACGGCTATTTTTGCCTGAGCTTTTTTAGCGCATAGTGTTTGCGCGCGTTCCATTCATTGCTTCGCCCACGTTCTCGGACATCTGGGTCAAGTTTTCAATTTTGGAATGCCTAACCACGAGGTATGTGCTTGGGTAAATATCGGCGGATGAACCGGCTAAACAACCCCCACATCTACGGAACATCGCAAATTTTCACTCGCTTCGATGTCGAAACCCCGCTGGGCCCTACGGGGTCATTCTCGAGGACAAAGCCTTGGACCCGGGGTAAGAGCTGCGGGGAATGTGAGAATGTGGAAATTGTTCGTTCCTGGGATTTTTCTTGCCCACTGCCCCTGAGTTAGCCCCTTGTAACAATAGAGGAATTTGCGCGCGTTCTAATGGTGCATTTCCTTACGCGATGCCCCGTATATTGCGATAGCGCCGGTAGCTGAACACCACAGATACAGTCGTTATGATCCGGTACTCGTAAAACGATCCCCTGATTTTGTTGGTTAATTATGATCGGACTATCCGATCCTGGTTACCGTCACGGTGTTAAAACCGTATGAACATTTATGACTAGCCGACCGCCACCCACCCCAGCCAATTCAACTGACCCAAGAAGGTCATTTCATAACTGGTTTTTGGTGTTTTCACTTTCATTATAGTAATGTCTACCGATAGGTTCTAATTATATTTATGTTGAAATCAACTGCCCTGAAAATGTCCTACCCAATAGTGGTGGTGGCGGTGCTGATGAAAACCAGTTCGGACCACTATCAAATTGATGCAAATTCGATTAGAAATGACCGATTAATTAGCGTTGGTTACCACGGCAATTTGGCTACTGAAAAACACAAGGTCGAACTAGAATCAAATGAATTGTAGACGAACACACGGGACTGTTCAATGGAGACCGGTTTCTGTCGATTTCTTTGCACTGAAAAATGTACTTGACTGCCGTTTATATGCGTATTATTGATGAATGGAAAGGGCATTTGTATCAGGCAGTACAATGACACTTTGAAGGAAGTGATCTTGAGATGGCAAAATGCGCTACTGACTCTCTGACGCGCGCGGTCGCGATGCGGCCGGAGCGATTCGAAGATCGTAAAGGCACGAGTCAGGATTGAATTGATGCGTTATTTTGTTCGAACATTAGGCAAGGGGTGCAATGAGGAACATTAGTGAGGAGAAAAAGCAAAAAGCACCATAGAAAACACTAAATTTCCCTTAGGAGGCCGGCCGTAGTACGACGGAGAGACACAGCGCTGCGAGGAGAGGGAGAACGCGAGATAGTACGTCATACGAGAGGACGCAGAGACCACGTATGCCGTGGTGGATTACGCTGGCAGCGCGGGCGAGCAAGGCCTTAGCGCCATTACCGCGCACTTTTGGGTCACGATAGTGTCGTGTCCTTAGTGCTTGGGGAGCCCACTATCGCACCCTGGGAAGAACTTCTGCTGGTTGCCTAATCCTGACTCGTGGCTTTATTCTAAATCGGTATGCATGGCTGGGAATGAGGGCGTTGTTCAAGTTGTCCGTGGTTGTTATAGTAGAGAATAAAGGGTTGAGCCCTAAATGTCGATCAATCCTTAAGTTTTATGCGCCATGTACTTGACTTCTGCTCACAAATTATGGAGGCATTTTATTGCGTATTTCGTCCTTTCAGAGACTTGCTGATCTAGCTGACGTACGAATTAGTGTTTTCATGTCCCATTCGAATCTTGTCCAGATAAGTTAGTGCCGGAGTTATGGGTGGATGAATTGCTTTGGGTGTATTCGCTCCAGATTCGTGGACCGTGCCTGTTGTAACACGGCGCCATTCCAAACGCCGCCGGTCGCCTTACTTACTTACTTACTTACTTACTTCTCGACCGCTATTCGTCCCGGGCACGCCAGAAACGCAGGTCGCACATCTTCCAGGTCGCTCTGCTTCGGGCTCTTCTGCGCCACAATCTGGCCGTACATCTTCAAACGGTAATATATCGCATTGGGGGGGGGGGAGTCTGTCTTTTGTTTCCCCCTCGGTACCACTCAGTCACTCTCTCGTTAGGCGATCATCGCCTACCTACCACCCTTATCCCGCTCAAAGCTAATGCTGCTGAATTTTTCAACATGAACCTAGCACATATACAAAACTCCATAATAAAGCGTATTCATAAAATTTCGAGGCTAACTATTCCGCTTTTTAGTCCGAGTCTCAAAGGGGCTGTCTTGAAGAGGTTATACGGTTATAGGCCCCCTGGCTGAAAGTATTAACCATAATTGGTTGCACATTCATACGACATTGGTTCGATTTCTTCTGGTACGAGCTTCTAAAATGCCTGCCACTGCCTGCCACTAACCATTGGTTCCCCGTAAAAGTAACTCAACCAACTAATATACGTTTCCCGAAGTGAAAACTCAGCGTGCCCTTATTTAGGATCTCGTTCTGAGAACATGTAGGTCTAATGAGCTCCTGCAACCACTGCAATAGTTCATACAGTGCGCTCTGTTGTAACGTCTATATTTTGAAGTTTTTCCTTAGTTTATGGCTGGAAAATTGGGGGTGGCATCGTGACCGTACCCATTGCTTGTGAGCCCAATATACCAACCTCAGCTAACCAAATTCGTTCTACGCTTCCTTCGCTGCGCGTGAAATGATATAAGCTCCGTTCAGCAGGTTGCCGCCCAAATCGCGAACATACGAGGGCACCGGTAATCCTATCTCTTTCAGCGAGGGGGGGACGGCGTCCCGCTTCTGATTCTATTCTCCGCTTGGGGGACAGGGTTGCGTCATAAATCCCGCCATTGAACGCTTGATATTGTAGCTCCTCTTCTATGTTGAGGCACTCTTTTTTTCTGAGCTAAGGCTGTTTGAGTCTAGAAACGCTGAGAATGGGCTAGTTCCGTGGTGATTCAACCCTGTTTCCCCCAATGCATAGGAAATAGGGATCCGGCGGTGGAGGATCGCTCCCCCTGTGGAAGATAGATACGACCCCAGGACGTCTCTCGAAAATCGTGCTCTGCTTATTTTGAGAAGGCTTTTTTTGCATGTTGAATGAAAGCACATCGAGGAACCGCTGAACTGGCAGGCTATACTTTTCCGAGTGGCCCTTTGAAATGCCAGAAGGAGTTTTGAAACATCTCTCTGAGCGCCAATACCGTGTGCACACACCAGTTTCGGGTAATAACCTACCCATAATGTCTACGTTTGTTTTGTGGTAATGGTGATCCTGGTGGTAATATGTCTCCATTTGCTAGTCGCGGGTACCTTTGTCACCATGAAAATCGAACCATAAACCAACCCTTCATCCTTTCTGGCGTTCAGATGGCCGCTCAGGAAAATTAGTTGAAGTAGTCTCATGTTCCTTGTACGATTTTTATATAATGGAGAAACCGTTTCCAAAAGCAGGGCATACTGACAAACCCTCCTGGTAAGATTTTGGCTGGAAACTGAAATGCCTGGCGTATATCCACCAAGCTCAGTCATCGTTTTTAGACCTTTGTAAGCACATTCAATTCACTCAGAAGGCCATCACAGGCAAATAGAGCCGTTGAAGAAGGCATCACAGGCAAATACAGTGGATTTTTTTCCTTCAGCGTGATAGTTTGATTCACTCATAGATAAATACTTCTTTTCCGTCATTTTTTCCTCTTGAAGTTTTTTTGGAGGTACCAGTCGAGGTATACTCGACAGAGTTCTCGGTATACCTAAAAATCTTCAGAAATTGGGAAAGTTTTGCACTTGGACGTTGAGTTTTTTCCTCATCTAGCCCTTCCGCAACCCTTTACCCGATAAAGACAGCCTGATAGATCTTCCCCTTGTCCATCGCGTGCTCTCAAAGGCGACCATTAGTTCCAGCGGAAATGTCGATTTACCTGCTGAAAAAACCCGATGCGTTCATTCCAGCGAACCGGAAATGAGCTCACTTCCTTCCTTGTGGTCTACGCTTCCCTTGCCGTGTGATAGCGAACCGTAACGAAATACCTCCAGGGCGCCATACATCAACAACAAGCACTAAATAAACGTGCCACCTGTTTCTTACTCGATCGTCGTCGACGGCATGCATCGGTAGCCCCGCCTACTGTGACGATTTTTCCAGCCCCGCCCCCGCTTTATCGTCGTCTCGTCGTCGTACACGTGCGTCGTACCCCTGTACTAGTAGGACAACGCGCCTGACCACGCCCACACACGACCACACTGCCGGATTTCTGCTCTCTATATAAGGTTGTGGACGACACTCAATCACTACACAAGAAATGGTATTCCGAATTCTACCCACAGTATTCCTTCTATTACTGCCTGGTTTATACGCCTACACATCGAGTTCCTATAATCCCAGCCGGTAAGTCTGAATGGTCTTTTGAAATTTTTTTCCTTTTTTTCTGGAAATTTACAGCTTTTAGAAGGTGTCGGTAAATTTTTACCCGCGTTGGAACACTTTTTGTGCGGTTTATTACAATTCATTTTCAGATGTTGGAGTAGCGGAAACGGCCTGCCGGCAAGATGGTGGAATGAAGGCGAGACCCTTACCCGAGGTGAGACCTTTTCTTTTCTTTAGCACGATTGATGTTGACATTTACGATTGGTGATGATATTCCAATTGAAATAGGGAAAAAAGATGAAGTTTTGAACGTGCTTTGTAGGGAAATATTGGTACGAGTGCCAAAAAGGTCGTCTTGAACCACGAGGTTGTGTAGCGGATTCGAATCGTAGACTGAACATTGGCAGCACGATCGAAACTGGAGGATACGTGGCTGTTTGTGAGCTAGGTGAGTAATCGTATTAGAGACTGTGAAGAATTTTTTAGATGTATTTTACCTCGATTTTTTGAGTCAGAGTTGTGTTTCTCTTTGAAATTGAGCCCAAAATAGACTTTCTCTCAGTCTTGACATGAAATTTGTAACGAATTTTGTTGAGACCTCTCAAGACCACAGCACGTTGTAAGGCTCTCACTTCGACTTCTTATTCTTTGTAGATCTTAGAAAATCAAACATATTTGCGGGTGATCCCCCTATAGGCTCAGGTGTTCGGAAGAAATGCCTCGAAAGGTCGCCCAAATGCTCCTGAATTTTTCTAGCTCTGACAGAAGCAAGGCAGCCGTAACGTAAGCCTATCAAAGCCCTATTTTAGAAAAGCCTTCTGAAGCT